GAAAAAGCTTGGAATAATGATGGCCAAAATGCTGAGAAATATGGTGAAACTGCGGGGTTCACCTGTTTGACATTGCAGCCTGTCTTGGCACTGGTCTCGATGAACATGACGTTCAATTCTTTGGCTCTCTGCTCTCCTTCCTCAATCATGATTTGCCTGCAAGAAAATCAGGCCAGGCTCAGCAACATGACATCGAAGCATAATTTATTCAGTACTGACATGTTGACTTTTACGACTTGCTTTCTGCTCAGTAAACAAAATATCCTCCTGTCAAAGACTACATTAGCTAAATGTTGTATTTGACATACTCACCTCTTCTCTTCCAGATCTGTTTTGTTGCCGACTAACATGATGATGACGTCACTTCCTCTCTCTGTCCGGACGTCATCGATCCATTTGCAGGTCTGCTGGAACGAGTTCACATCTGCATAGACAAGACTCTTCGTTCAAATCCAGTCTTTTTTTGTGTTGTTATGTTAGAATCCCATGGGAAAATAGTGCTTCTTTGCTGGGTTGTTATGTTTTTCAGACAGATCAACACATACAAGACAATGCATACGTGCTCATAAGTAAATTACTACTCACTTGTAATGTCATAAACGACTACAGCTACAGTAGAGTCTCTAATGTAGCTCGGGATGAGACTCCTGAAACGCTCCTGCCCAGCAGTATCCCACAGCTGCAGCCTTACCTGCATTTACAACCACAAACAAACAAACAAACACACACACACACACACACACACACACACACACACACACACACACACACACACACACACACACACACACACACACACACACACACACACACACACACACACACACACACACACACACACACACACACTTCAGTAGCTGTTTCAACTTCATACTACACACAGACTACCCAGGCCTTAGTATAAGTACACATCCAAAGTGATAAGCCAGTATTAGCTCCTGTGCAGGCTTACAGAGCTTTATATCCTGACAAAAATATACTATTAATACAAGCTAAATGATCCATGCAGGAAAGGACTTTGACTTCTTAGGGCTAGAAGAGCAAAGACTAATAGCAGAAATAAGCTAAGTATAATCGTGTTAGTCTGTGAAGTGAGAAGTTATTAAGGAAATCAAATCAGAGATTAGTGAAACCAGAGTGGAAATTGGGAAATGTCTTGCTCAGGAGGTTCGCTGGCTTAAAACGACACTAGTTATAAAACATGAATTCATCTTTACATGTTTACATGAATTTTAAATGATATTAAAAGCTTCCTACTGTTCGGTCTTCCAGGTACATTGTCTTAGATAGGAAGTCTATTCCAATGGTAGCCTGCGGTGGAGAAAGAACAAAGGAGGGCAAAAAAGATCATCAGTATTACACAGACTTTAAAAGCTAAATGTCTCCCTGCAGCATCAGTTGTTCAAAGCAGATTGACTGTTGTTTAAATGAAGGAAAACACAAAAAGAACAGCCAATAAGCCCTGAAATTGAATCAGACTAAAAAACTAATATAATTTGTATTACCCTCAGGGCTCAATCATTCAGACTTGTTACTGTATGTAGCGAACTCCTAAGAAAGGCAGGGACAGAATAATCTGTTTTCTCTTTTTAATAACAGTCTATTATTGCATAGCATTTCCTTTTGATAACTGCAGTGCAAATTACATCATTTTTTTAAAACCCTGATTTGGAATTTGCATATCAGACTTGACATTATTCTGTTAGTCTGCCCATTTGACCAAAAAGGGCTTAATATAATTGAAAGCTTTATTTAATAACTTATAACTAGTGTTATTCTAATCTATCATCAGAAGACTATTGTCTAGAGAAATAAGGCAAGGAGTCCTTGGTAACTTCTTCAGTGCAGTATTATGCATTATCTTCTTTTTTGTGAGGCTGGCCCGAGTCTTACCTGATACGTGTTGTCGAAACTGTCATACATGAATCTAGTAATGAGAGATGTTTTCCCCACTGGAATAGAAACAGAAGTATATTTTTAGTTGTGTGTTATTTCAGATTATAAACAGTCATATGGGTTTCTTATGAAAATACAATTTCCTGAGTAAATTGAACATAACGATATGACAGTTGGTGTGTTCAGGAAGTGACAGAAAGATATTAAAAGATGTGCAATAGCATTCAATCACTGTCATTGTAACCTTCACTTTTAAAAGAAAGAATATATTTCATTTCTATTTCAAAATAAGAATATTACATGAAAAGTAAAAATCTGCCATTTCAGTGTCTACCATATATCCACAATGCATATTATATGGAGTTAAGTTGGCTAACATCTGTGATAATAACCTCATTTTAAGTAACCTCCCTTTCATGACAACACAATGCATTTCATTGTAATGTTAGTAGACCAAAGAAATGACTACATTGCCTGTTCTAAAGAGAAGAAGTAAGAAATAAATGTGCTAAAACTAACATCAGTATCTATAGATCATTTTTGTAATTATTCCATTCATCATAGTCAATGCCTTTTTAATGTCGACCATGGTGACTAATTCAAATGTTATGTTTTGTCGCATCAACACTGAGAAGTTTAAAGTGATACAAAACATAGATTAGCAGGCAACCCTCACCTTAAAGAGGCTAACCCCTCACATTACATTTTTACTCAATCTATTAATTTAAAGGAGTTGTTGATTACCAAATTAATTTACATTTTGTATTATTGTATGATGGTTTATGTTTTGTTTTGTATGTACTTTCAAATGTTGTATGTTTTTATAATGGCCCATCTATGGGTGCATTGTAAACCACAGTAGGCCATATGCTGTGGTATGTGGCCTTAGTCCAACCTATATCTAATTGTCCCTATAAATATAACATATAGATTAGATATTGAAAAAATGTGTTGCAGATTTATTTTTTATTAACCACCTGATTGATTGATGGACTAATGACTCAGCTCTATTTTCTTTTATGGTGATCAGGAACATTTGTATGAAAGAAAAAAGAGAAAAACAGAAGTTGTTTCTAATAATTATCACAAAAAAATGCACAAGGCCCTCCTAAAGCAGACGGATGTGTGGCAGTGTTAGTCATGGTGACTCCTCAGAGGATCAAGGTGAGCCGGATCTTATTTACATCCCATCTTACCACCATCTTTAGCACCATTTTACTTCACATCTACAACATGACTGAGCAGTGGACTTCTGCAGCAGGCCCCAGGCCCTCATGCAGAGCCTCTCAGGGCAGACAGCTGTGCTTTTGAATCCAGAGATGGGCAGTGGCCACACCAGGCCTTGATACAGCACCGTGGACAGCAACATTGCAGCGCAGGCCACACAAACACACACACACACACACACACACACACACACACACACACACACACACACACACACACACACACACACACACACACACACACACACACACACACACACACACACACACACACAGGGAGGCTCGAAGTCGACACACAGCCTCCTCATAGACATGCAGCACACACACTGGGGCTTCACAATGTAAGACACCAGTCAAGCTGTTGTCATATTAACCCTATTTATGTGTTTTCTACAGCTGTACTGTATGGGATGTTTGTTCCTTTGCTGCCACTCTGGATGTCTGCTGTCTGAACACGTATTCAGGCAGATTTACAGCGCTAAACCATTATCGATCTCCCGAATTTGTGCCATCACATTAAATAACACACAGTCATCCCCACCCTAAAAAAAGATGGCTTATTGAAACCATAGAAATAATGCTGTGGCGCTGTCAAGCTCGTTTATATTTTATTATGTGTGGGAGCGAACCGGAGAATGCGAGCTTTAGAGATGCTACAGACATCGCCAGCCTAGGGTGTGTCCCGAACTGACACATGGGGGACTGTTGATTATCTTTTCCAAATGAAATAAATACCCCAGAGGAAGAGGAAATGATTACACACTGTCATGTAATGGATTAAACAATTGTTCTCGTTAGAAATAAGCGATGTGAGGGAATTATAGCTGTTATCTGAAAACAGGCTGAGCATTTTGTCGGTCACTGCAGTACATCAAAACATCTGAATTCATATCGCCTGCTAGGATGCGAATTATGACAATTTGCGCCAACTAAACAATCATTAGGGATATTCAGTACAATGAGCAGTGAGTGGTCATGATAGTTATAGCAAATCCAAGGGTGACATTTACATGCAGGCGGTTTTTTTTCTACTTCTTCGGGTAATCAGATTTTCTACAGTCACATATTGTGCCCAAGGGTCCATGGGCGTGAAATTACACAAAGCCGGCCACATCCTTCAGATTCAGCTGAAACTTTGTAAATCAACAAGGATAACATACATGGCCTTCTACATATACGCATGTTAAGCAATAGATGGGAGGACAACACCGAAACCTCCCAAAAGATCTGACTCACCGCTCTGCTCGCCCAAAAACACGAGTTTAAATTTCCTCAGGGGGTTCCCCAAATCTCCTCCAGCTGACATGGTGGCAGATAAAGAGCTCAACTTGGATTATTTGATATGTTCTTATTGCTCGGCGTCTCCTTCGTTGTGGGTGCGCAGGGGGATCCTCCTCTCCTCTCAGAATGATGGGAATGCAGCTCAGCATCCTCCTGTCAATCTGCGGAGCTACTGCGCCTGCGCGACCTCACCTATTTTAATTCGTCACCTTTCTATAGGAAATCGAACGAAACTGTTTTTAGTGTAGTATATTTAAGATAATAACAACGTGCACGACTGTGAAACATAAGTAAATACATGTTTGGTCGATTACAGAATAAATGTCAATGGTTTATTTTCAGTTATTGTAATTTGTTTAGTCATTGTACGCCTTTGTTTTGTTTTTTAAGTTAATGATAGGGTTAGGGTTCAACCTATTTCTAAGACGAATGTTATACTTTTAACTTTACTATACATTTTTTTGATTTACAAATTAAAACATTTGTGATCAAATGTTTCATAATTGTATGCTTTTTGAAAGATGAAAACAAACAAGCTGCAAATTGAAATGTGAGTTTATGCATTAATGACAATAATCCATAAATATAGTACAGCAATACAAACATATAATTACATATATTGGAGTCATTTTATATCACTGTTTTGCTACTTTTACTTAAAATATTTGAATATAGGGTGCTTACTCATTCTATAAATTATCTGAGATCTTAAGGAAGTCATTGAATTGTATGACGTTTACCGTGGTCCTGCTGTCAGAATACACATCAAATTAAATGAATAGGATTTAGTTTTTGTTTTCAGTAAATGGATGTTGAATTCAATGCCTTTCTTGGAGGCCTTGTCAATCATTTGGATATAAACAAATAATAACTAATCATTGCAGTAATAATGCATCGATAAGGCATTCTCAACAACGTTTTATTCAGCTTTTGTAAACACACCAACATGTCATTATTTTGTGCAAAATTATCAAATGGAACCTTAATACTAATGTGCAAATTCAAACAGCTCAGCCTCCTTCTCCTTCCAGAAAGCAAAGCTACGGTCAATATATTTACAAATGTCTTGGTTGTTGAAACAAGAGAAGTTGGAGTCCCTGCCACACTCATCTGCAGCCACAGTTTGAACCACAACTTTGGGTAGGAGTCTGGTATCTGCCAATAAGGATGATGATGGGCAGTGGCACGGTCTGGAGTCCCCAAAGAAGCGAACTTTGATGTCCTCGAAGCCGTCGCTCCACTGTCGACTCCCTGACTGGATTTCCTGGAGAACGGCCTTGTGGAAGTCCTTCACCATCTCCCACGAGAAACTGCCGACATGGTCAAAGACTTCGAAGCAGAGTAGATGCCTCATCTTCCTCTCCTCGGGCAGAAGCTCTTGTTCCAAAATGTGGAAGTATCCCACCATGAAGAGGTCGAGGGTCAAGCTGTCGTGGGTCACTGCAACACCGTCCACGTCTGGCAGAAATTGCTCTGGGGAGAATATTACTCGAGAGCAGTTTGAGGAGGACACACAGGACTTTTTTTTTTCTTTGAGTCCTAGTTTACTTCTCCAGCAGTGAAGCACCTTGTCTACAGCACATCGTTGTTGGCAGAATTGAAACATGGAGGTGATTTTCTGTTGGGGCAAAGCGCCTGTCACTCTCTCTGAAAGTGCTTCCTGTCCCTGTCTCTGCCTCGCTGCTCTCACTGAAATAGCATATGCAGATTTCTTCCAGTGGCTCAGGAACAGCACCACGATACGTTCTTTCCTTAAGCTGGTAGTCTCCATCACAGGTTTAATTGTTTTGGGAGGATCGCAGTGACTATTCAGGTTGTTTACTTCTGGAGCTCCAAACATTACCTGTCCTCCTTTCATAACCCCAGCAAAGGGATAAATGCTGCCAATCTGACCCTCAAAGTTGGATCTTAGGTTTCTGACCGACACCCCGGACTGTTGGATCTCCCTCACCACTCTCTCCCTCCGAGCTCGGCTGTAGCTGTTGGATTCCAGTCGATGGCTGAAAGTAGACGCCATTCCTATGTGAGGAATCCTAGGACCACTGAAGGTCTCATCATGTGCAGGCACTACCTCTTGCTCGTGTTGCACCAATCCCTGGTCCAATTCAATTCCTAAACTGTTGCTAACCCCCTGCAAACCCTTCATCTCTCCCATTATTCCATTCATTACGCTCCTCTCACCCCCTTCTTCTGACGTTTGCGTCAGGTTGGCCACCAGCAACGACATACTCTTAACAATCTCTGAGACACGACTGCACCACATTGGCAAAGTAGGGTGCATTTTCCCCTCAGTGTCCATCTTTTGTAGGACCTCTTTGTTGAGGGAGATGTTCAAGATGGAATCAGGTAAAATGGACCGCAGCTCCTCGGTGAGCCTGGTCAGCTCCAGCTCGTAAGCCTGGCAGCGTTTCTGCAGTGAAACAGTCTCAATTTGTTGCTGCAGGTACACCAGATCATCCTCTGTTAGGAGCTCTCCAAAGGGCCCCAAGACGGCGTTGTGGGTTTGGGAGTACTTCCAGCCGTCCACTGGTGTGTAGCCATTAGTCATGTCCTGTTAGGGGAACGAATAGATTTTCAGAATAATGTTGAGTGATAGGATTCTAGCTGATATTTGGTCTACAAGCCTACTCTACATGCTCTTTATTTGTTTCCCTTGTTCATGTCTTTTAAAGCTCAATTATCACCCTGGTGAGTCCAACCCTATTCGAGAAACACTAACTTCAACCAAATAACTTAACTTGTCTTTTTTAATTCACACACACAACATCTATTGCGCGTCTGGCCGTCCTGGGAGAGATATACCTCCTCTTTCACTCTCCCAGATGTTTCTTAAATCTTTTCTCCAATAGCTATGGGGTTTCTTAGGAGTTTTTCAGGATCCACTGCGATGACTATGATATATGCTGTACATACTGAGATTCACCCTGAGACAAATGTTTAATTTGTTATGTGGCTATATACATTTGTATTGATTGATTGATTTTTGGATTGATTGATTTATTCATTTACTGGTTTATTGATGTATTGATTGATTGATTGATCCAACCACTCCCTACCTCTTTTAATTACATTATTACATTACATGTTAGACGCTTTTATCCAAAGCGACTTACATACTCAATACTGTGGATAATCCCCACAGGAGCAATTTGGGGTGAAGTGTCTTGCCCAGGGACACAATGACATGCTGACTGCAGTGGGGTTTGAACCTGTGACCCCCTGATCCGAACACCAACACACAACCCGCTGCACCACACGCCTCCCTTTTAATCTTACCAAATAGGATTGGGTATGCAGATGCAGACATATCCAATAACATACATCGACCACAGATTTAACTGAGTTAACACTAAAGTAAACATACCTGTCTCCTCTGCTCCTCCTCGTCCTGCAGCCTGACCTGCAGCTGCCGCACCATTACCTGTCGTTTCCACTCCGCGATGGGCTGGCCGGCTTCATCGTGGGTCGGCACCAGGGAGTCAATGTCAGCCAGGATCACATCAGCGTTCAGTACCTCCTCCAACAGTTCATGACTATTACACTGCACAACCATCTGAGACAGTAGGTGCCAGTGTTAAAGGTTTGTGAAATAACATAAATAATAACAAGTATTTTTTCTGATGTTCTTTCATTTTTTGTATACCATGTGTCAAAACTAAAACATTATTAATGTAACACCCATTGTACATCCACACAGTTATTATTAGTTACTAGTTTTGATACAGTGTTGTCATTTTGAACATACAAGGCCTAATTAAATATGTTCCCATCCCTCCCCTAGCTATAATTGGACAACAGTGATTGTCCAATTTAGTCTCAGATAATATAGGGTTTTGTCATGTAATCTAATGTACATTACCCTGTTAATCATTCCCTATCGATCCTGAAGGCAGCCATCTTTTATGTTGTTATGCACAAAGTACTGTTTATCTTGAAGGTTGTTATCACCGTTTGTCCAGTGAAGATGGCAGCATTCTTCAGAGACTTAATGGACTTCATGTGGGACATCAGGGTGAGATCCCTGTCTGGAGGCTTCAGGTAGCTGAACGATGTCACCACTGTAACATAACAAAGGCTAAATGTCAACAATTGTATCTTAAAATGAATCAATATTATTATTTGTGTATGTGTAATTTATGGTGGTTGTGTCGGTTTAATGTCATTTTATATAACGTAATAGTCCCTGTTAATCACCTGAGGAGGCCATCTGCACATTCTGCATGGTGTCTGAGTGGTATTTATTTGAAGGGGCGGCAGGGGTCACAGAGGGTGAGGTCCCAGGAAGTGGTGAAGGGTTGCGAGGCAGGGGGAGCACTTCTTTCATTGGCTGCTGGGGACACACACAGCAGTCACAGCAATCCATGATTAAAGGGACAGTTCTGCTTAGTGGAACACTTCAAATGCCTTTCTCTAGGAATTATTTTCAGTTTTGGTGCCATTGGTAATTATCGTTTACAGTATAGGGAGGTATTGAATGAGATTGTGAATATTACAAGGTTTGCTGATATTCTTTATAAAATAATGAGGTTGGATAAGATAAGATGTACTTTATTGATCCCAATTTGGAAATGTTTTGATAGTTGATAATATTTTGGGTGTGGGCACTGCAAGCAGATTATTTAGATGTTCTCAAATGCATTAGTTCTCATTAATGTCCTCCTTGCTCCCCTTGGGATGCTGAATACATTTTTGACCTGTCATAGCAAAAAAAGCAGGTCATATTATTAAAAGCGCCTTTGAAGGAATTAGTGATTCTATTAGTTTGCCAGGTTATATTCTCCTACTGTAATTGTCTATCGCTGTACTGATGATTTATCACCTTGCTGTTCTCCATGTTGGCTCTGCTCAGTCACAGTCTGGTCTTCTGGAAGCAACAGGAACTCTTCTTTCTGAAAATGACATTAAGAATAACAACATGTGACAAAAAGTAGATAAAGTGAGCAAAAGAGAACCCCTTCTGGAGAGAAATGCGACACAGAGTATCACACAGCAGTGAGTAAATAAACGATTTCAAAGTCATCTTCGAAGAGACCTCCTTGATACCACATGGTCAATATAACAAACTCAGGCCGCAGCTTGTAGTACTTGGATAAAAAACAAGATGTGGTGAAACAGGAGCCCCGTCAGCATCAGTAGTGTAGCCCGCACAGAGTGCAGGAGAAAGTGTTCTTAGAGTTATGAGAGACATGATATCCTGCTTCAGGTAACCTTCCTGATTTCTCACAGGCTCCATGCCATTCTAGAGCATAAATACTACACAGACAATTAGATGTTTGTCCTAATTAGATGTATATGCAAGAAGTTAGATTAGAAGCTTTGTGAACAACTAACATAATTAGAGTTTTAAAAGATAACTGAAGCACTCCTTTGTGCATCAGTCAATCCTCACAGTAAATACAGAGCTAAATCCCAGATCAAATGAACGCTGAAGGCTCTTTGAGCAGCTTTTCTCTCACTGATTGTGCTGTTATGTTAAATGTTTGTTGTTTGTGTTTCATGTATTGTGTCTGGATATTTGTCTGTTGATGTTGGACATGGAGCTGCTGTGACGCAAGTCAAATTTCAGACTTGATCTGACAAATAAAGTCATATCGTATAAGTCATATTAAGTTAATTTGTGACCAAATATAAACCTGTAAAACCTTTGAAATACATTTGATTGTTTTATTTGCCAGATAAATTGTATTTAGTGCCCTTAGCAATCTGTTGCTTTCATTCCAACTGTTAATGGCAATGGTTTCCAATACACATGACATTAAAACATTGTTTTATATCTAAGTAAGGCTTTGATGGTTAATAAATATCAAATGTAAACTGTCAAGAAAGTATTTTTAATTCAAATAAAATAGATTCAAAATCTATTTGTCATTTGCAAATACACAATCATTTTTCTCGAGTTCCATCTCTTAACATTACCTTGAAGATCTGATAATATAATACTTCAATATATGAAAGCATGCAGTGTGAAGGTAAACTTCTGTTGTTGCAATGTTGAGGAAAATATTCTCTTACATGCAGTACTTACAATATATCCAGGAACTGTGAAATCACGAGCAATGGGACACTAGATTAATTATAGGAGGAATTTAAAAAAAAAAAATAATAATAATATTGAAAATAAAGACGCGCAGTTTACTCCAGAAGGTGTTGTCTCTCTACTCTGGAGCGGCCAATAAACAGGCAGACCAAGGAGCAGCATCACCTGGACCCAAACCTCAGACGGGGGCCCTTCTTTGTGTGCATAATTAACGAAGAGGGATAGGGTGACTGCATCAGGAAGTATAACAATTGCTCTGTGAATGTATGTAGGAGACGACATACAGTATGCTGTGTGTGTGTGTCCGTGTGTATGTGTGTGTGCATGGACACCTTCTCACATGTTCATGTTCACACTTGAGACCGGAGATGAAAGTCAATATCCGAGACTGCACCCAAGTGATTCACTTGGCTTGGAGTAACACAGAGTTTTGTATTTCAATATCAGCATTTCAATGAATAGGATAGCTACTCCTACTGGCACAGTTTCATAGCAGTTAAGCTAAAGCTGTTACATCAACCTTTTTGTCAGATTCGTGACTAAGCAAATAAATTGCCACGCATCTTTTATCTACACCTCACTGGAGCAGTAATGTAATGGCTATCAAGGGTGGAGGGGGGCTGCAGGACAGTATTTAAAAAGTTGTGGCCTATAGTCCATAGGTTAGCTTAATCAATTACTGAATGTAATCCTGATCTTTCAGTGGTGATAGCCTACTGTTCTTTGTTTTGTTAGTTTTTTTTCCTTTCATAGGAAACAATTCAACTAATTTGACAGTAACTGGGAATCCCCTTCGGTAGAAAGCGAGACATGAGCGGTGTGTAAGCTTTCTATCATCGAATCCACACCAACTTTGTCTCTGTTGGTCGGCTAACCTGCCTTCACAAGCTGCTGTTTACTAAACCGAAATAGTTTACATGTCGGCTCAGTGGGAAGAAATCAACAGCTTTGGTATAGTGAATCATTCCAAGCAAAAGAAAATTGCATAAACCAGCAAGCTCCCGTACAGACTGCTTTATTTTAACTAAAATGGACCTAAGAAGTCAAAAGTTGGGGGCGCATCTCACAAATAATGTGTAGATTAATACGTTTAATAAAATGGAAGCACATCTCTGTTCATCTATACTTCGGGAATCGATCTTCATTGTCAGTGTATTAAAAAGGTAGAGTCAGTGATTCTGGAGATACATTTCTGATATTTTAACTTAACACCAAAGCAAATAACTTCATTAATTTTTCAGCTCAAACAGTTAGCGATTGTGAGGAAATATTAGCTGAATTTTACAGAGCTATGGGATTTAAATCACTGACTGCACCTTTAATGAATTTTAAAACTTTTGGAGTAACTATTTTTGATCAAAGTATCTTGTTTTCTAATTTGTTATCAATATATTATTGTTCACAATTGCGTTCAGTGAAGATTTTAAATGCCTGTCGTCTCTATTAGCAGTATGTCAATCTCCCGGCTGCTGGTCACCTACAGTACAAACAAAAAGAGGGCAATTGGACAGAGATATTGAAACAGAACACATGATTAAATATTCAACATCCGTTACACATAAAAGCCCTGCAGATATCTTACCAAACTTATTGTTCATCAATAGTGGGCTGTAACCTCAGTGCCTGGGATGAGCCTTTGTGTGCAGTCCAGTATTTCTGCCTGTGTAATAAGAGGGATTAGTGTGACCGGCCCTGATGCAGCTAAGTACATGGTGAGTACATAATCAATAATGGAGGGCTGCAGAAACGCAGAGCAACAGTCTCACACTGCAGGGCGTTCACATGTGTCCATGCTGAGCAAACAACAAACTGTTATGACACAGACAGGAAAAGCATTATGTTATATTAACAATGTATGAGGTGAAGGAAGTACTCAGATTGCTTATAGCAATACTAAAGTAAACATACAAATACTCAGTTATAAGTAAATATAAATATAAAAGGTGTACCTAAAATGTGTTCTTACAGATCTTGAGTAAATGTCCTTCATTTCATTCCAACACTGTCAATGTATTTCATTCCAACACTGTCAAGGTTGTTCTGTAAACAAGAGCCCTCTCCTGTTGGGGACATTTTGTTTTCTATGTTCAACTAATGAGATGGGCAGAGCAGGAACAACTTGTTACAGAAGACATTGGCCCTTTCTCATTTCATCAAATCCCCCTCCTCAACTCCTCGACTCCTCGGTCCTCCGGTAGTGACCCGGAAATGAATTTCAGCGCGCCATGTTGAAGGACATCTAATTTCTCTAAATGCACTTCAAGGACCGAGCATCGAGCATCGAGGAGGCTCTCTGGAGGAGCTATAACCGAGGATACACTGATGGGTCCTCCACGGCTCCTTCGTGGATGCATTTCCGGCAACAGAGATGTTCCAAAGAGTCGTGACGCACGGCCGGACTTATCTCAGCCAATGACAACTCTGCATGCATCCTCTGGATATTATTTTAGAAACTGCTTTCATCGCTTTGCGATGTTTCCAGAGAGAACAGCTGTGAGGTCCGTGCAGAAAGCAGAGCAGTGTGTATAATATTATATAACTCAGTATAACAGGCCTACTCTCTTTATTTGCTGTAGTTTAGTAGATATCTACAAACAAAGAGTCCATATTTTTCTAAAACCATTTAGTGCTTCACATAATAAAATACACAACGGCTGTTAGCTGTAGGTGCGTGTGTGTGGTACAGTGTGTGTGTAGATGCAGCGGACATACAGGTCTCAATTGGTTTGGTGTCCTCTGCTTACTTTTTTGGCCCGTAATTTATTTTCCTCATTGTAGCGACCAGAGAGGGGGGGGGGGGATATATCCAGTCTCTGATAGTGTTACGTTATTATGAGAGTGCTCTGTTTGATTCTGAAATTGTATATGTATATAAATATATACATATATATATGTGTGTGTGTGTGTGTGTGTGTGTGTGTGTGTGTGTGTGTGTGTGTGTGTGTGTGTGTGTGTGTGTGTGTGTGTGTGTGTGTGTGTGTGTGTGTGTGTGTGTGTGTGTGTGTGTGTGTGTCCGCATCTGTAGCCTGTTATTGTCTCATTATACCGCAGAATGAATTAAAAGTAAATATATAAGTCGTCATGAACACATCTGTCTATCAGAGTGCTGCTGTGCCTCCTGTCATCATTAATGGACGTCTCTTTAAAATTACCGCTCAGAGGAGAGGAGTTCTCATTTCTCTAACCGCCTGCTGCTTCCCCTCCTCTCTCCTTGGTTCCCCTCCTCGGCTCGCATCTCCTGTGGGCGGGACTAAGTCTCGAGGGTAGGAGTCGAGGAGGGGAGTTAGAGAAATGAGAAAGGGCCATTGTCACGTGTCAGCCAGGAAACATGATGTGCTGCGTATGTGTGCTGCACAGAAGTAGTCGCAACATCTCAGGATAAAACACCAGCTTTTTTTTTCTGCTTCTGTCTGTTATAACTATTCTTAAAGGAACTAAAGGCTGTTGTAGTTATGCTTTTGATAATTAAAAAGAGAGCAGAATCCAGATTTAAAGATCCCCCAAACACGTTTTTAGACAGAATGAGAATCTGTCTCATATGGACTATTGGTCGCAGGGTAATCCTGCGCATGACTGCGCTGTTTATCTGTCAGTTGCTTATGAACAATCATGTTTTCTCATTAATAGGTAGTTACAGTATGAATGCAATCGAGATTGTATTTAAAAAATCAATACCTGACTACCATAGTTCTTTATGAAAGCAGTCATCCCATTCTTCAAATTGTGTGGTCAAACTAAAATGGTTTCATTTATTAATTAAAATTGGAATATATTCATTTTTAGTCTTACCTTTGATGAATAAGATGGCCACAGTCACAGCCAGTATTATATATTTTCTTTTGCAGATGTCAAGGTATATATATCTGAAGTTTGTTGGGTCATTTGGACAATATTCAATTCACATTGTGCACAATAATGCAGACTTCTACTCACCCATTCAGGTGTCACATGCTGTGTAATTATAAATGTGAACAACACTTGTAAAAAGGCGACAATCATACACATCACACTCAAATGTTGCATAAGTTTCAACACTCATTTATTTTAATTTTATTGACAACTTTTGTTACGTGTCCACAGACATGAGAAATAACTCCAGAACACTCAAAAGCTAAACGTGAGCACTGAGATTAAAACTCGATCACAGGCTGAGACCCGATTCTACTTCGGTCAAGCTGCTCAGAGCAAGAGTGGCAAACCAGGGATCATCTACTCTGTCCACGATCGCCACCTCACCCACACTGAGCTGAAATGTGCAAAACTGATCCCCGCTCAGCACTCTTAGCTCTGGGGTGACGCTTGACCAAGCAGCAGGCCAGTTATTCTAATTCATCATGGTATACAGAGGAAGAGAGAGTTAATATCATCTGTGTGACGAGACCCAACACAGAAACATCTCCATTTATATACAAGACGGAGCCAGGAGGAAGGTTTCCAGTTAGTCATACAAGGATCATGGATGACAATACTTTACAAGCAGCACTTCAGGGGGGGAAGCTGTTGTCATTAGCAGGCGGTAAGGCAGGAGAGAGGGACAGAGAACAGCAGAAGAGAAGTGGACCTGCATGCTTTGATCCAGAGCTGTGACAGTTAAAAAGCAGCCAAATATAAATTAATCAACTCATTAACCTCTTAACGTTTATTGGCCAGTACACTAAAGCTGTCTCACAAAGTGTTTTCTTTTAAACGTGATATCCTTGAACTATTGCGTCTGGAAGCATTGCAAGTCATACACCAGCTGTATATTAAAACATTAAAATAATCAATGCATTTTGGTGCAGTGTTGTTCGTGGTTTGATTGCTGAAGCAAAAATGGCACATCTAATTCTAATCTTCTCCCTCCAGGACAGGGTTGCTATAGGTTATTGTTTTTAAACAAACCAGTATTTTCCATACATTCCTAACATCATGATATGAAATCATATTGAATAAAGATGCCTTGTGCATGAGTGCAAAATATAGAACATAATCATCCATCCTTCTAAGATTTATAAATAAACCTTTTCCTTTGTCTTCTGTTCCAGCAGACAACATACCGTATATATATATCTTTAAACATTTTACAAAACAAAGTTGATTATACCAAAATGACCCAGAAATCAATTATGCTATCCTATTTATTCTTTGCAAACAGACAGAACATCATTTTCAAAATCAAAGCAGCGACAAGAAGCAACAAATCTAAAGGTCAATTTGAAGTAAAACCTTCCATTTATCACAAGTATAAGCCTGCATTGCTCAACAGGTTGGTTGGCCTGTGGCATACAGAGTCCTCAACACTTTCTGTTATCTGATTATATGTCGGGTTAAACCAAAAGAAATATCAGAACCACAAACGAGAGGAAAATGGGAAAGACAAAATGGTTGACTGACCATGTCTTTGTCAGAGATTTGCAAAAGAACGAGGTGAATTAAGGTGTAGATAATGATGTAAATAATGCTATCGAAGTTCAAATAATGTCCACCTTAGGTATTTTCAATTACCTTTATCTTTCCTCTGATAATATTGATCTAAAATCAACATTAAGGGTCATCTTGGTATAATGCAAAATAGACAGTCGGTGAAAGCGACTACAAACAATTCCCTGAACATAAGAGTCAAAACGACACCAAGCGAATCATACTGTACTGGTTTCAGACACAAGCATCAAGCTGTCAAATATCTAGCAGATACAGTACAAAAGCTGAGGGGGGGGGGGGGGGGGGGGGGGATTGCTTTTAAATGCAACATTTACAGTCAATGATAATGAGATACAAACTGCACTACAGGCTATACCAACATACTATAGCATCATTGATAATATTCACTCTCCAAAACAATGACATAGGTCAAAAATGTGGGAACAAATTAAGATTCACAGCCTCTACATTTACTTTACATAAAAGCCAAATCTTGGACACATGTTATTAACTTCCGCGTTGATGTGAAATACGATGAGGGAGGGGGAGAGAAGTAAAGAGGTGAAGAAAGGGAGGCACTATCTGGTGCATGGACAACGCTCCTGCCCACTCAAAGCAACCGCCTTCAACAGATCCCAGGTCCATCGTCAATTACAACCTTTCATTTAGCTAGAGGAGCCGTGAATAGTAAACGTATTAGCTCTGCTGGCCCATAACAGACAGAATAAGTGCTTATTTGATTCAAGTTAAACAGTTGTGGCCCTGGTGCATTTATCATCTTAGGTTAATTTAGATATTATTGATACGTTTAAAAAAGTTGCTCAACAATTTTGGAAATATGCTCATGTGCTTTGTTGCTACTTGGGAGTGTGAGATTTGCATCCTTGCGAGGATGCTATACTGGGGTTTGTGAGCATAGTTAGCATAGCGTTGCGGTACACTTAAAAACGGACTCCATTATAGGCAAAACATTGTTGCTACCAGCACATTTAAAGCTCACTCATTTATGCATTAAATCTCATTTGTGTATTCCTTCATCTCGGAAATTGTCAAGAAATATTCTGGCACAAACGGCCTTGTTAAATCTCAACTTTGTACAATTAAATGAGATATAATGTGCTATAAGTGATTTTAGAGTTGCTTCTTTTGGACATGCTAGCTGTGTACCTCTGGTTCCAGTCTTCATGCTAAGCTAAGCTAACCTTCTGTTTGCTGTAACTTCATAATTACATTATCAATCTGCTCATCTAACTCACAGCAAGAAAGCAAATAAGTGCATTTCCAAAAATGTAAAACTATTTCTTCTATGTTTTAAATATCTGCTCAGCAGCACAGTGGACAATGATTTGAAACACTAAAACAAAAAAACAATGCTTTGGTTAAACAAATGAGTAAATGATACATTAACTCAACAAAGACAGTAAAGTGCCATGCAACAAAACTGGTAAGTGGTCATGTCACAAATAAATAACAGTGCAAAACGTACAATAGCGACAATAAATATCATTATGCTTTCTGGTTCTATGTGCACAAGGGATTATTATTTAAAAAAATAAGAAGCACATAACAAGAACAAGGCAAGGACATGAGTTATCTCTCCTGATATTGGATTATTTTTGCCTTATTTTAGCCAAAGAACTCAGTTTTCGTGGAATCAGTTAAAAAAACAACATCACATGAACAACGTACCCTTTTGTCCTAACAAATCCCACATGCTACTTCAGTGTTACAATGACTATCTGAAACCTCTGCAGTGAAACAAATACTCTATGCTGGAGAACACCAAGCAAACCCAAACTGAGGTAAT